TTTTATGATTTCGTAATTTTTGTAATTTCAGTAAATTTTAAATTTTTATTGTTTTATTTTTGACTTTTTGTAAGCTTTATCCATAAAATTGTACAATTTTTAGTGACAATAAAGCATTTCTATTCTATAAATACGTTAGAAAATATTGTTGCGCATATAAACAAAAAATTAGAAGTGATTCTGAAAATATTCTGCTGCATCACAAAACCAGGTTAGAGAAACTAACAGGATAGAACTAAAACATTTTTTTGACGTTTGTTTTATACAGCGATATTTAATTATAGCCACGAAAATTTTAATTGCATATTTACTAAAGAAGGAACAGGAAGAGAGGTATTAAGAGTGTAAAAAGATGAAAAATAGGTTGTACGAAAATATTTGCATTTCTATTAGGAGCTTTACGACTCGATAATTATGCGGCCAGGGAGGAGCACGAAAAAGATAATCCGGCTGCAACAATTTCGTTGATTTTTCATAGTTTTACAGAAAATTGTCAAAGTGTTTAAGGTCTTGGACAATCTTTTACTTTCGATGACACTTGTGAGCTTCTGTGGAAGGTGCTGATTTTAAATATAGGTATGTACATGATAAATAAACCGGCAAAATATGTACTGAAAATTCAGTGCCTCACAGATGTGCGACACGGTTATTTATATAATCGGTAGTAAAAGACTCAGATGGATTTGGACTAAACAATGATGACCAAAAGTTTCTAAAGCCGACGCAAGCTGTGTTATGTCTCGCTGAACCAATTTTTAACATGATTCATAATATTATTGCTGACAACTGGTATTCTTTCTATCAAATAAGGACAAACAACTTAGATAGAAGATTTTAACCAACTATGGGCAAATATACGAGATATTGTATTACAGATATCCGTTGAAATATTGGGCAAAACCAACTCAGAAAAAAGAAATCATTGGTTTGATCATGAGTGCGAAAGGGTCACAAATAGAAAGAACGCAGCATATCAAAAAACCATTGACAAGGGTAATACACGGAGAAAAAAGAAGAGTAGACCTCTTAGAAGAGAGGAAAAACGTATCCAACGACGTAAGAAGAGGGAATACGAACAGAACACTCTCAGTGAGATACAAAGTTTATAAACGAGGAAATACTACAAATCCTTAAATACTAGCCGTCGAGAATTTAAACCACGATTTAAAATTTGTTAATGACACTAACGGTGAAATTCTACATGATAAAAACTCAGTTCTTAACAGATGGGCACAACATTTCAGCGAACATTTAAATATAAATGATATTGAAGGAGGTTATAACATACCAAATCAACAAAATCTCCAACATCAACTACATAGTGAAGACCCAACAAGAGAAGAAGTGTCAAATGCGATCCTAAAACTCAAACTCTGTTATTAATAAACACGGACTAACCTTGGACTAACATTAGTCCCAGGACTACACCAATAACATTCATTTTCGTATTAATAAACAGCGACTAAGGACAGACTAAGCTAAACCTTGGCTAGTCTCGGACTAACATTTAATCCGAGGTAGTGGCAGGTTTAGAGAGTGACTAACTGGACAATTGGCATTGAGTTGAGTTTCGTTTTGGTATTCATAACCTGAATTGTTTTTGATTATTCATACATTATTTAATAATGGAAGATTATTTTATCAACGACTTAAGATTAATAGAACAACTTAATGACCATAGAAATCAGTGAAATAATATTCATCTAAGACATATTAAAATATATAAAATTTATTTAATAAAGTATTTTAAAATTCATTACGTTTATTAGTATTTTTTATATCTTCCCTTTGTAATAAAATATTTTTTAAAGCTGAACTTTTATGAAGTTTAAACTTTTCAGATAAAAAAAATACTATAAAATATAAATAAATAAACTTTCTCAGAACACAGTCCAACTAAAATTAACTCTACGTGCTCCAACTTATGCTAACTGTCAAATTGTCAAATATTTTTCTTCTTTTTCACAAAATTCTCTCCATTTTTCTTCTTTTTCGTAATGGTTGCCAACATAAACTTGTTGTACCTAGGACTAAGGAACGTTTAGTTAGTCTGAACTTAGTCCACGTTTATTAATAACATTCTGAAAATGAAGTTCAACTGTTCAAAGAAGCACCTATTGCAGAGTTCGCTAGAGTACAAAGGCTTCGATGGGCTGGTCATGTGGTACGAATGGATGCCGACAGATTGCCGAGAAAGGCCTTGGATGGTAAAATGCAGGGCAGAAGACCAAAGGGAAGACCACGTAATAGATGGGAGAACGAGTCACAGCAGATGCGCACAACTTACTGAACGTCAGGGCTTGGAGACGAGTGGCGCGGGATCGCCTTTGTTGGAGGCATAAGTTACAGGAGGCCAAGGCTCAATTTGGGCTGTAGCGCCATTGGAAGAAGAAGAAGACAATGAAGTTAGTACTCGCTTAATCTGGGACTAACTAGTCCGAGACTAACTTCAGACTAAGCAATTTTTATTAATAAGACTGAAAGACAATAAAGCCCCAGGAATCAATGAAATCTGTTAATAAATCTGGAAATGTATAAAAAAGGTCGTGATCTACTTTTTGCAGCAATCCATAAACTAATAGTACTTATATGGCAGAATGAATGGGTACCAGAAGACTGGAGTGTAAGAACTAGAGGCATTACTCTGTTAGCATCTGCATATAAAATCTTCGGCAATGTATTATTTGAAAGACTTAAACATTTTACAAAAGATATTGTTGGTCAATATCAATATGGATTTACTGCTGAAAAGTCAACTACACATTAAATTCAAGGACATAGGCAGATTCTATGTCCATTCTATGTCATTATCCAGTGGATAATGACGATAGTATAGCAGAGGCAAATGTTCACGTAAAATGTTGAGATTTTTTTGTCTGTCTGTCTAAGATAGTTAAGATTACATCCGAGGAACTATGAGAAGCAACAAAAAGACTGAAAAATATTATGCCTCTGAAAATGATAAAATAATATAAGAAATTATAAAAATCTGGGAAAGAATGTAATAATTCTGCTATTAGAAACCATAAACAAATCATGGGGGAAAGCAAGGGTACCAAGAGGTACCAGGGATTTGTTAATTTGACAATTTTAGCAATGTTTTTTTCATGAAAATATCGGTTTATTGTTACGGGATTATTGTTTAAAACTGTGGAGTGCAATGATGGAGTTAGGCGTACCAAAGAAGCTGACCATGATTGCGCGAATGTGTGTCAACAATTCCTTTGCACAAATTAGAATGGAAGGCAAAACTTCAAAGGCTTTCGGCATAAGCATCGGGCTCAGACAGGGAGACCCGCTGTACCCATTACTGTTTAACCTAGCATTGGAATACACAATGCGAAAAATCTATACCAGAGTCAAACCAGACATAACTGCCAGAGAAGCAAAGATTATTCTAGCATTTGCAGATGATGTAGATGCAGTAGCACAGACAACACCGGAAGTTAAGGATATAGTATCGAACTTTGAAGAAGCAACACTAAGCGTAGGCCTGAAAATAAACGAAGAAAAAACTAAATACATGGTCGTATCAAAAAAGGAACGACAGCGAATAAGACAAAACATTACCATAAACGATCATAATTTTGAGGTGGTCAAAAAATTCAAATACCTAGGAGCAACAATTACCAGTGAACACACAGGAGAACGAGAGGTTGAAATACGAATACTGGCGGGGAATAAATCATTATTTTCCATTCAACATCTAATGAGGTCAAAGCTTCTCTTAAGGCGTGCCAAAATCCAAATGTACAAAACCATAATACGACCAGCAGTGACATATGGAAGTGAAACATGGACATTGAGAAAGAAAGAAATCAATAAGCTATTAGTATGGGAACGCAAAATCCTGCGAATTATATATGGTCCTTGCAGGGACAGCGTGACAAATGAATGGAGGAGCAGATACAACAATGAAATAGAGACTCTCTTCGGGAAAGGAAACATCGTAAGATACATAAAAGCCAATAGATTAAGATGGGTAGGCCACGTGATACGGAGTGATGACGACAGACTGATTAGCAATGTGTTTTGGGAAAGACCAGATGGTAGAAGATCGACAGGAAGGCCTAGAAAAAGGTGGAAAGACGCAGTCAGGGAAGACCTGGAGAAGATGGAAGTAAGGCCATGGGAAATAATAGCACAGGATCGAAATCAATGGAAGGCAATAGTAAACGCGGCAAAAACTCACGAAGAGTTGTAAAAGCCAATGATGATGATGATAATTATTGTTTAAACATCAAAACTCAAAAAATTAAAAGTTATAACAGCCACCTGTGTGGCTGTTATAACTTTTAATCTGCAGTACTATGCCAACACGAAGCCCCGCGAGAGAGCCAGTTGGACAACGCAAGCGAACCTAGAAACAGCATCGCGTGTATTCCTCGCGCTATGTATTTTATTTTATTGTCAACTCAATGTTTATTCTCAATATAATCTTCAGTACCAAGTGTTGAACGTGTATTTCGTGTACCTGCCCCAAAATCCCCCCGTATAAAGTCAAAATTGACAAAATGAGTTTTTTAGATCAGTTATAAGGTCGTTTCCATAAAATTTTTACTTTTTTTTTCTTGATGAAAGATTTTTATAGAAGACTTTATTTAGGTTAGGTTAAATTAAAAAATTCGTCCGACTGAGTTAATTTTTAACCCAGCTGGTCTCGAATTTAATCTTCTTCTTCAAACTGGAGCACGCAGACCGGATGACTTTTGGAACAAAAACTGCTGAAGCTGTTTTTTTGATAGTGGATCACAAAAATTCATTTCGACTTTTTATAGCGAAAAATTAGCCATTTTTATAATTTTTTCGATAGAAGTCGATGATTCTGGAACAAAACATTTCCGTGGAAGTCACTGTGAACAATTTCAAGAAAATACGTCACGGTGTGCCCAACTGCATTTGTTCATTTACTCTTATATAATTTTAGTAATCTTGTATTTTTCTATGTAATCACTTATAACTGTATAAATTTTAACATATCGAACATTTTTTTTAAACAGAGCGATACCCCTCAAAACCGTACATTAAAGATGGATATCCTCAAAATCAAACAGTTTTAGCTTACACCAATATTACCCTCGAATGTCCACAAATCATTGTGGATTTGGAACCGTACATTCAATGGTTTAAGTTAAATGACACTGAAATACCTGAGGATGACTTAAGTCTGTTGAATTGGATACAGTTAGAACAGGTTAAAAATTGTTTTCAAATATTTTGGTGAAGGCTCTAAGCTTACTCAGAAAAGTACAAAATCTACCTATTTAAAAATTGAGATATTTGATTTTTATATTTTTTTAAATCGAAAATATTTGGGGTGTGAAATTAAATGACACAGGTAACCAAATGGAGCTATCAGACATATTATTGTGAGCAACCTTGTACACTTTCTCTTTTTCTGCTCATCAATACATGTAAAATACAGAAATAAAAGGTATATATTTACTATTTTAACTGCAGTTTTCCCTTATGGAATGACATATGTATAGAAAGCATTATTGTTCGTACCCTCGAATTCTACTTGAATACAACCTCAAGGTTTTGTAAAAGAAATATATAATTTTCTAATTTTCTAGATAATTGGGTACTCTGCCCTCGTTTCAATTACTTACTCTAATTTGAACACGATTTAACAAAAAGTTTCAGACGTAGTTCTACGGTCATTGGTTTTTAAGTGCACGATAAACGTTTTTGACAAATAACAAATAATTTTGATTTTGTTCTTTTTCTTGTTTGTGTGCTTCGTCCTTTAAGGATTATTACGGCATATTTTACTCTGCCAGCAGCACTTCCGAAGAGTACTATTGTTGTTTTTCCACTCCACTGTTTAAAATTTTTTAACCAGTACACAAAACTCTTTTGTTTTTGTTACTTGGACACAAAATTCTTTGGTAGCTTACTTTTATTTGTCCCATTCATAATTATTTTTACGTGCCATTTTTACTGCTTCCCTACGGCTTTAAGAAGCAGAGGTGGACCACCAGGGATTGGCTGCAGAAAGCTTAAGACCAACAGAACTCGAAGAAATTAGGTAAGGCATAATGTTCAACTTTGGACGCAAAAGGCCAGATGATGATGACGATAAAATAATTGAAGCACGAAATATCTTTCGCCAGGCCTAACATGTCCCAGGTACTGCAGCTTTCTGGTTTTGATGGTTTCTATTATTTCCATACTCTCATGCATTGTGTTCATGAGTTTATTGTTTGTTACATGATCAATCCATGTTTTTTTCAGGATTCTACTGTATACCCACAATCCAAATGCTTCCAGTTTCTTAATTGCCGCCGCGTTTAGGGTCCACGCCTCCATTCCATATGGTAGTGTCTAGAAAATATAACATATTTGCCAACCTAACCCTTAAATCCAGCTTCAGATCTATTTTACTAGGCACATTCCTCAGTTTATTAAAATTCATACGTAATTTATCGATGTGCACTCTAATTTCTTTGGAGTAATCATTTCTGTTAAAACGAACTTTCTGCAAAATAGAGAAAAGTGCCATTTTCTCGCAAATAATTAAAAACTGACCCAAATGTTGGATGACTGGGAGTTCGACGAGTAGGAAATCTCCTGCGATATTCTCTACTAGCAGCCCTATCATTCCCATTACATAATCCATAAACAAATATTATGTCTGCATATTCTGTGGTCGAAAACTGATGTGGCATTTTGAACGAAAGTAACAAAAGCTCTACCAAAACTAACACAATGTACTTAAAGTATAACGAGGAATAACTATAAAAAAAGGTGTATAGCCTTATCAAGAGGATACGGGAAAAGGAAAATATGTCCAAAGATTGGATCAAAGCTTTATTAGGCCCCATATACAAAAAAGAGATAGATTGGAATGTGAAAATTACAGATGTGTTGCTCGGTTGGAAACTTGTTACAAGGTATTAGCCAGGATTCTAAAAGATAAACTTAACAGATTCGCTGAAGAATAACTAGGTAAGTATCAGGCCGGTTTTATTGACTTGTATCGAGTTAATAGATCAGTGACAGATCAGAGGTTTACACTAAAAGAAGTCCAGACTACCTGCTATAAACATAAGGTAACCCTCCATGCATTTTTCATAGATTTCAAACAAGCGCGTGATAGGATAAGAAAGAATAAAACATATGAAGTACTGAGCTCCTTAGAGATGCCCGTAAAACTTGTTAGGTTAGTAAAAATGACTGTAAATATCACACGAAATCATGTAGTATGGAGATTATTCTCATCAGATGAATTAGAAATTAACATAGATCTTAGGCAAGGAGATTTGTTATCCACGGTGCTTGTGGAAACAATAATTTGAAATAGCCGACTTAAAGCGTCCGTATCCGTTATCTTCAACAATGAACAGCAATGGTTGGCCTTCGCTGATGATCTTACTATTCTAACGAGAACAAGAAAATAATTAAGTAATGTTTTAAAAAGATTAGAAAGGGAGTACATGATACTCAGAAAAAACAGAGCAAAAAGGTGAGGGGCAGTTTACTCTCATTCTAATGAATCATTTTACGTATTTGGGGAATAAAAAAATGGGAAGCTTAAGACCACTGATCTAATCGAAGTATAGAGAGGATAAAGTTAAGGATATATAAAACGGTAATAATGCCTACAGTGACGTATGGTGGTGAAATATGGACAAGGACAAAAGCAAATACGGAAACATTGGAAAGAGGGGACAGGAAAATGCTCAGAGCTATATATGGAATCAAAAACACGGTAGAAGGTTAGGTGTGACGAACAAACGGGAAGCTAGAGGAACTGTATAACGAACCAAGCATCACTAGCTTCATAAACGCAAAGAAAGTAAGATATATAAGGCACGTGATGAGTATGGAAAGGAAGAGAATTCCAAAGATGATCCCGAAACGGGGCCCAATGACGAAAAGAAGGAAAGGACGACCTAAACAAAGATGGTTTGATAGCGTACAGGAAGATCTCATAAAAAAGGAATTTATGGTTGAGAAGAAAGAGCAACAAACAGTAATGAATGGAGCAGAATAGTAAGTCAATTTAGTAGGCAAGTAGGTAGTAGGCACCCCACTTGATACAAGTTTTGCAATATTTAAGTATTATATTAATTGTATTTTAGTCCTAGACCTTCAAGGCCTATTGAGCCACAAAAAAATAATTTCGGAACCATATCAAAGAAGGAAGACCCACGTTTAGATTTTTTTGGTATATTTTTCCGCACTTTTTTAATATATGTTGAAGAGGTAGTGTCATTAGAAAATATTTAAAGTGCTTCAGAACCACTTCTTTTCGTTACAATAATTTTCACACATAATCACACGATTTTTTCGTAAGGAAAGTTTTTATTCCTGGTTAAAACCATTTCTGTAGATCAAACATTACAAAATGTTATTAAGACACTGAAACATGTTTGGTGTATATTATTAAAAAATATATTAATTTTATTAATATATAATGGTAATATTTGGTAAGACTCACAATATTTTATGTGTTTTATTAAAAATATATATGTCGTAAAAAACGAATTAATCTAAGGGTAGATTTTGTACTTTAGATATGTAATTGAATGAGTTCTTTTCTATCAAAAAATCATTTCTAGATGTTCTCAATATATGTGGAGAAGGGGGTAATGTGACTAAGGTGATGGTTTCTATTTTCATGTATTAATAGTTTGAAAAATTATAATAATCATTATTTTATGTGGTGACGGTAACCCTTTGATTCTAGAGCGATACCACAACACCCCCATATTAACAACAGGACTTGAAAATTCCACAGTTATTGTTGGGGAATCCGTTAAACTCAGTTGTCTGTTTGTTTCTGACTTACATCCTTATATTGTGTGGACAAAGTTACCCTACAATTACGCTAACTGTTCTTACGAAGCTTTGAGCGATTGCAATGCTAGTGTACTTCAGGTATATTGTTTTATGTTTAATGTTTTTGTTATGTATTATATTTTAGTACCTTATAGTAGTTAAGTTATATGTGTATATTTTTTCTGTTTGTGCCTAAACCAAAAGCAAGGTCCCAATATGCGTCGTGTTTTCTTTCTTCCTAAACGATTTTCTCATTATGCTATGATTAACTCAAACAGTATACAAAAACAAAAACAAGTTTGGAGAAAAATATTTCAGTATACGTATAAATATTATTTTTGGAAGTAAAATATTAAAGTTAATGCGCAGTTTTATGCAGAATCCCCTACCTTTATTACATTTATTCATCAGTTTCTATCTTGAGTCATTCCAATATCAATTCCATCCACAAAAAGGTCTTGCGTAAACATATCGTAAAACGGGGTTACTTTGCACCATAGTTTTTAGAACATTGCTACATTTTAAATGAACAAACTTTATTATAAGTACAATAGTGAAAATACAAAGTTTGAATCTAATCCCACCACAATTTGTCGCATTCTGGAACAATGTAAAATCCTCGTCTGGATTTATGGCACCAATTACATTGTCCCACGAATACCATATTTCGTCGCGTCTTTCTGGTCATTTCCAAAACTTTTTCCAAACGATTTTGACATGGCGTTCTTCATAGACCAATAAAACGTATTCACCAATATTTTTTAACATGATCTAATGCAGAGTTTTTAACTTTTTCGGCAATATTTGTTTCAAGACAACCTGAGGCGAGTTTTTCATTAAATTCGCTTTCTTCTTCCATCTCTTACAGCTCATTTATTTCATCATCTGATGAATCCCTGCCTAGCGGAAAGTGGTCGTCCAAAGCAATATCGTTCTCTGAATCATCTATGACTTTTGGCCCAACAGCTTGATGAAGTGTGGAATTAGATGCTTCAGTTAGATCTTCTAAACTAATTTCAGAATGGGCAATACTTTGTCCTGCTGGAACATTTATTATCTTTTTCTTCCCACGTGTCTTAAACAGGGTGGCTTCCTTTCTTTTATCTTCTAAATATCGAATGAAAGTGTTTTTTATATCTGACGAACTTGATTTATTATTATTTGTTGTATGACTATCAGTTATCTCACTAGATTGCTGAGTTGTTTTTAACCGCTTCAAGAGCGGTGTTACAACCCTTCGTGGGTTTTAGCCGACTCGACAACATACCTCCACTGTTTTCTGTCTTTAGCAACCTCCATCCAATTCTCCACGCCCATAGTGCTTAGGTCTCCTGCTATATTATATCGCCACCTGAGACGAGGGCGTCCGCGTGGTCTCCTTCCAGTTGGGTTTTTCTCCCACACCAGTCTTACTGTTCGTTCGTCAGAATGTCTTTTGAGGTGTCCTGCCCATTGGAGTCTTCTGGACTTTATATCTTTTATGATGTTGATATTTTTTCGATTAATGATCATAAAAGCGTTGGAAAATGCTGTTTCTCAAGTACATTTGATCTACTCCCCACATGAGTTTCCTTATATTCAGATAAAATTTCCCTCCAGGCTTTTTTCATTCGGGCAAATAATGCAACATCTAGCGGTTGTGTAACGTGGGTGCTATTCGGAGGCAAACATATAAAATAAATGTCGTGTTTTCAACACAAATCCAGGACTTCAACATTATTATGAGAAGACAAATTGTCTCCTAAAACGACCTTCTTTTCCTGAATTTTTTAAGCCTGGCAACAGAATAGTGTTAAACCAATTTACAAATGTCTGTGATTCGAACCAACAAAATGCAGTATTTGCATAACGCGTACCAGAGGGGCCATTTCCAGTACAGGTATCCCACAAATGCTTGGATTTGTACACCACATAAGGAGGTAGTAGCTCACCAGCTGCATTTCCACACATAATAAGAGAAATGCTACTTTTTAAGGAGTTACCAATTCGTTCAACATATCTAACCCCACGTTAATATTTGTTTGTGTTACAAACTCCACACCAGTTAATATTTGTTTTTAATTTTGGATGTATTTAGCCATTTGGTCTGCATTGAGTGCTGCTCTACTTCTTTTTATGTTTAAGGTTATTGTTGCAGTAAGGTCCTTATGACGACTTGAAAATGATTTGACCCAATGCATACCAGGAGTATTATCCTTAAAGCGAGTTATTTTTTTTACTTGGCAATTTAAATAAGTCTTGATTATTTGTCATAATTCCATTCCAGTAACAAGAAATCCAGCATCACTAAGTCCATGAATGTATTGTACGAAGCCCCTTTCCTCTTCATAAGAGAATATTGATGGGTATCCAGGTTTTCCAGTGTGTACTCCTTTTAATTTGTAAAACATAGTTCTCCTTGGAATGTTAAATGATTCAGCGGCACTCTTGTAGTCATGCCATCTTTTATTGCTGACAGATATGCTTTCAAATCTTCTTCTGAGTAGTCTGCATATTTGCAAGATCCCAGTTTCCTTTTATAACGTCTATGCATTTCCTAAAAACATTTTCCTATTAACCTTTTACTCTTGGGGATACTTAGTACCACTTGCAAATTGGCGGTGCAAAGTATACCCAATTTCACGTGTTAAGTGCACATGTAAACAATGTTTTTTTTGTTATTGATATCCTAGTTTAAAACCATTATTTTAACAACTAAAAATCGCAATCGATTGTGGTATATGCCATTAGACGTGTACTTACCAATTTGTGTCCGCTGGGACTGTCTGCAGAGTATGATTTTGCAAAGTTAGAAAATAATAGATTTTCGAGGTTAATATTCTAATTGTTGCTGATAGATAACTGGCGACCGCAGAGACAATCGCGCGAGTCTTACTCACGTATTGCGATGTTGCCTATGTGCTCTAGAGGTAGTACAAATATATAAATAAAATTGAGCGTAGGTTTGCAGTACGTTCGGTGCAAAGTTACCCTGCTTAGTGCAAAGTAACTCCGTTTTACGGTACCCTAACTATATTAATCTATATTCTTTCATTTTTGCAGCAATTAGTGCCTTTCTTAGACTTCTCCTAATTTTTATAACTACTGTTTAACTATTTTCGTTTCCCTTAAAAGCATTCGATATTCATGTTTCTTTTAAACTGTCCAACACTCAGTTTCGTACATTATACTAATGGGAATAAAGGACTAAGCACTGGATCCTGATGTCATCCTACATTCGCATGCAATTTATCAGCCTTCTTCCATATTTTAGCTAAAATTGGTTGTTACTCCTCCTTATAAAAAATGCTTTTTTGGCACTAGTTGTCAAAATGATTTTAAAAATGTTATACCCATAATCGTATTATATTCCATACAAAGATATATGAATATATGCATCTGAATCAGAATGGTGATCATATGTATATGACATCAAAAATGTCTACTAAGCTGTCTAAAGTCTGTAAAAAATCTACGTAGAGCAATAAATCATAATTTTATAGATTATCAAAACATATGTATTTCAGAACATATCTGTTCTTGCAGATCAGTTTATGTAGACATATAGATGTACAGTTGTAAAGTTCATATAGATCAGTTAATATTTCCGATTTAATTCCACTATTAGTATCATTAAAGTTTATCGTAGCACTAACTATGTACTCTTGAAGAAATCCCTCATTTTCCTAATTCGAGAAATTAAATATGTTTTTATGATTCGAGAAATCATTTTGTTTTTGTTGATTTTACGTTCATACGAATCTTATGAATCTCGTACGAATATTAGGATCTTGCATTTTACTCATGTTTGCTATAAACAAGCATTCTCTTTAAACATTATTTGTGTTAACACTAAACATGTGCTTCTAACGATATTCAAAAATATTTTTTATTTATGTAACGTAACAGACTTTGGAGAAAGTATATATATATATATATATATATATATATATATATATATATATATATATAACAATACTAAGAGAAGTTATAGAGAAATAAAGTACAAGCAGGTAACAATCTAGACCATAGTCAATAAACTCACAATACAATTCCACAAGAAACAAATTTCAAGAAGAGTTGCTAAAAAAACTACATTACTTTTGAAAACATACCTAAGTAAGAAAGTAAAAATAAATTAAAAGAACAACGATGGGCAAGGGACCCTAAGCAATTACTAGTTTCCCGGTTCAGGAAACACCTGGAATCTGCGGAGGGCAGGGATTGATTCATTTTCCCTGATAGGACTATCCAGACGAGTTCCTACCCGCTACCCTTGTATAGATCGAAAAATATCGACTATACTATAATTGCAGGAAATCGCAATAACAACATTTAAGTCCTTACCATTTTGTCGAAAAGTTTAAAATGCCGAGATATTGAACAAAATCAATTCCAATATAACCAATCCCCACAAGGTCTTACGCTCGCACCTTGACTTCATACGTACGACCTTAAATATTGATTTACTAAAAGAATTAAAGAGATCAAAATTGTCTAAACTAACATTCTATCCATTTTGTTTATGTAAATTTATGTTGTAAAGCTAATAATAAACGAGATAATTCGATAATTATGCTCCTCTCCCCGACTACTATTTTTCCCAATTAGTCGGAAAATATTGACTGGACGAAAAAATTTGGAACTACTATTAGGCCCCCCTAAAGATTAGAGTATTACAATTTGGGGCAGCTCGCCATGCAAGGCCCTTTTTCGTCTAACCCGAGTGGACTAAAAAGATTTTTATCGAAGTGGGCGGATGGGACGACGACCCAGAGGAAGACCAAAGCTTGAGTATCTAAATAGCTTAGAGCACGGCAAAAATCTATTGGAGTTTAAGGTTGAGAAGAGTTTCTCGAGACAAGAAAGAATCGAGCATTGTTCTAAAGAAGGACATGGCACATCAAAGGCTGTAATACCTTTGATGATAATGATCATTCTAAGATACTTTTGCAAAGTCTAGAAATTCACTTATTCTTACTTCTGACAAGGACTGTTCAGAAAATCAATTTAATTTAAAACTTAGGTATCTATCTTCAAAGTCAGTTACTAACAAAAAAATTATCTAGATATACATTTTCCTTTTTTATATAGAGAAGTGATGATGGTGGGGGAAATCCGGAAGTGTATGAGATCTTAAATGTAACTCATGAAGATGAAGGATGGTACGCTTGTTTCGCGTCTAATAGTCTCGGCACAACAGTGTCTAGAGCTTACCTTACCGTAGTCGATGAACAACCAGGTAAGAAATATTTATTGCATAAAATAATACAATTATATGTAATGTATCCACAAACAGCACAAAAGAAAATTTTATATCGGTGCGTATATTGCAATTTAAAAAAATAAAAGGTTACTACTACTACTAATAGGCGGGCTGGATAGCTTAAACGGTAGAGTATATATAACTATCACGCAGAAGGTCCGTGCTAGATATCTGAAATCCGCGAAATCATCTATAGTATAGTTTCAAAATTGTAGACACTAAATTCCAGTAGGTACAATGGCGTACAAAAAAAGTACCGCTACTTATATTGAACAATTTTTACAATTTAGACATCGGATTATATGGATCAACAAAAGGCAAACTATGCATACAGTATGCTCAAATTAATATAATTAAATTTATAAATCAAACTACGTGAAGTGTGTAAGTGGAATAAATAATCGATACATGGAATTGAGGTAATAGCACTCTAGTAGCCAAAAGACATTATCGTAAACTGATTCAGTAAAAACATTTCTACAAGTTTATTGTAGTTAGAATTCGTTTTATAGGAATCGTTATAATCGTTTGACTATCTTCTCAAAAACCGCCTCTGAGGATTTAAATAAACCATTAACATTTCCAGAAGAAGATCTATATCAGATTAACATAGTGTCTTTTTATTTAATATGCTTCAGCTACCACTTATTTTAATACCATTTATTTCAAAATGCTTATCAGTAAAATATTTGTCAAGGCTTATTACATTACAGGACAAAGAGTTTTTACTCAGGTTGCAGTATCTACCCAATAACTGAGCGACAATAATTTGCTGCTAGATAAAAATCAGGTATACAGAGTAATGAATGATAGACGCATTTACATATAAACATAAAACAATTCAGTTTGCTTCCAAACACACTTTTCCAGTTTTTTTTTTAATTGTTTGGGAATTACCAGTAAGTATAGTGTTTATCAACAACTGGTTGTTATATGTGAAATAAATCTGTACTACAGGCAAGTTGAAGCGGTTAATACATTTGTATAGCGTTCTGACAAATATGAAAGGCAAAAATAGTCCAAAGAAAATTTTTATATACAACGTGTATTGTGGACTCCGTGAAAGGAATGAAAATATGTTGGTCAATGACGTTGTAACTAGATGTAGCGATTTGATTAAAGTGATTTCGAGATATCTGTTGAATAAATTGAATCCAGAGGAAGAAATCGTATTCAGCTTGAAGTGGATATTTAATGTATGTTATTCGAAAAAACTATTATCATTTCTCAGAATTCAACGTCTACAATTTTGATACCCTACTATAGATATTTTTAATAATTATGGGCCCAGGGTCGCCTCAGTCTAAATATAGTGAGTACTTTGGGTAAAACTAGTGATCATAATAAGCGGTTGAAGCTTAGCACACGTATTGTTACCTTCCTTGTAAACCGTCGGTTCTAGAAATAGCAAATTACCCTTCTATAATTTCCTAAACTGCTTTAGCGGTACAAGTATATTGGCATTGAATCACTTTTGACATATTACATCATATTTTGTGAATAAAGTTTGTGGATATCTTATATTGAAAAAATATATATTCGAGGGCATAAATGAAACATGTGTATTTTGCAGATGTACAGACGGAACACCAGGAGATGCCTAGAACTAATGTAGGGTTAGTTATTGCCATAATAGGAACTGTGGGAATAATTGTTATCTTTATTATATCATTAATATGTATTCATTACCGTCAAAAAATAAAACGGTAAGTATGTATAAATATTTTAAGAGGTTTCCTCTTTCTTTTCGCAAGGTACAAAAAGTAGACAAGACAGGATTTACCTCTGCTTATATACTATTGAAACCTATTTGACTTGATACACCAAAAATTTCTATAGGCAGTTATTCGTAATGAAGCAGTTGGCAACCACTGGTTGATCTATGAATACAATCCGGTCCCAATATAGCTTGTAACTATCATTTTCAAGCATTCTGTTAGGAACTTAATTGATAATAGGGTTATAGATGACCTGAAATAGCTTAATTTTAGTGGCTAGGTCTTGATGGAGTATGTTGCCGACTGACTAAGCTCGATGCTATATAGTCTACGTTGTCCCGAATTACCTCATTGTGATACAACCCATGCAGAAGTTTCTCAATGCAGATACTTATTTTTTCCTCATTACATCGGATAGATGGTGCGCTCTTTGGTTACTTTAATTTAAGCGGTATTGTGTCATCTATTACAGTAATTTTGCTAGTCGCTCGTACATATCTGCAAGTCGCATTTCTTTTTGATACTTTTTTTTCTTTCTGGTAGCTGTGTTATGAACAGGTCGTTCATAACGATTGGGCTGACGACGTCATCGGTCCAAATTTCATTGGCGAGCGGTATAGGTCGATAATTACCAAGTTCTTTTTGTCTCAATAGGCTTATATTGATACATTGGTCATTCTTTAAGAGCGATTTGAGGGCATGGTAGAGGTGGTGGTGATGTGAACTGGCCACCGAGATCATGCGATTTCATCATTCTTGTGTGGTTTTTTAATTAGAAAATCTATGCGAATAAGCTACAAACCTCGAGGGCCCCAACGTAACCCATGCTATCGATCAAATTCAGGCTGATTTATGTGCTAGAATCATGGAAAATTGAACATGTCTGATGCGAGCGATTTGAATGCTATTATATTGTGTACATAATAGCATCTAGAGGCTTTTCAAATGAATAAATTTCGATGATATCTCACACACTTTTTATCTAAATTTAAAGGTAAGAAATGCCTAATTAAAGATCCCCAGCCAGCTTTGTGTAATACTAAGCTCAGAGTCACAGTGTCATATAGATACGACCTTCTTACCGTTGTAATATTGCTCTTTCTATTAACAGCTAAGATGATGCTTATGTGGCATATACTTAAGGTATCAAAAGATTTAGCTCTAGAACGACATTTTCCATGTTATTGAGTCCTAGGTGACCTGATATATTGGATCATCTCCCTCAAATCTGACGTTTCTGGACGATCACTCTTTGCATGTTATTTTATGATGTTCTCAAAAAGAATCTTAGGAATGACACCAGTATATGATAATATGTATCGTCTGGGCACTTGTTTGAACCTCAAGATTTCTATACTTGGCGATTTCCTCATTGTAGATTAACACGCGAAAATCGCCACATCCATAAGCTTTTTTATCCAAATTTTTTATTTGTTAGTATGAGATACAACCTATTATGTGCCATTGGTTGGTTTGACAGCAATACGGTCTTAATGTAGCTTGTATTCATTCTTAAACATACTGTCATTATGGGATATGTTTATAATAATTGAGAAGGTCAGTTTGAAGAAGTACTAACTTACTTACTAGCTCTGGGTGAAATACCTTACCGTCCAAGTCAGGCTGTTCCTTATACTTAGTTCTGACAAATGCTTGAAAGCTTGCTGTAATATTTTATATGGTTTCTTGGGTTCAACAACCCTATTAACATTTGTTGTTCTGCACGTGAGAGTCTTTAATACTACATTTCGGCTAGTTTTTGGATGGAATTACCTATCGTAAGTAGTACACCCTCTGTTTCGGGAAACATCTTTCCTGCTATATTTTCGAAATAGTCCTGGCTGAGTTTATTGGGATGCCGCTCATGCATAAGTTTCCCTATCCAGATGCTCCTTTTATCTTTCTCAGATTTTTGCGCATTTAAAATGAGAAAAGGCAGCAAATATTTGATTTCACGCAAACAAATCCTATGTATCTCTTGATACGTATTTCGACCTAATAGGTCTCGTCAGAAGAGCTATTCATAGGCTTCTCAACGTGAAAAATCAATATTTTCTGCCTTTTAAGAAGCAACAATAACATGGCTTCAATACGGACGCAATAGCGACATCTAATTACAACAATCGTAAAATAGTTTCGAAACACAATTCAGATTTCTGCTTTATAATCTGAGCCTTCTAAAAATTGCAAGGCAAACAGACGTTGATAAAAGATGTTAAAATATTGATTTTTCACGAAGCCCTATGAATACCTCTTCTGACGAAACCTATTAGGTCGAAATACGTATCAAGAGATACATAGGATTTGTTTGCGTGAAATCAAATATTTGCTGCCTTTTCTCATTTTATTCGGATTTACTCTGTGTGAGTACAAGAAGCACAATTCGCTAAGGATTTCTGCTTAGTTGTAAAAGACATGTCGTGAAATGCAAATTTTAGATTCCCCATGTCTCTTTTAACATCTTTTATCAACGTCTGTTTGCCTTGCAATTTTTAGAAGGCTCAGATTATAAAGCAGAAATCTGAATTGTGTTTCGAAACTATTTTACGATTGTTGTAATTAGATGTCGCTATTGCGTCCGTATTGAAGCCATGTTATTGTTGCTTCTTAAAAGGCAGAAAATATTGATTTTTCACGTTGAGAAGCCCTATGAATAGCTCTTCTGACGAGACCTATTAGATCGAAATACGTATCAAGAGATACATAGGATTTGTTTGCGTGAAATCAAATATTTGCTGCCTTTTCTCATTTTATTCGGATTTACTCTGTGTGAGCACAAGAAGCACAATTCGCTAAGGATTTCTGCTTAGTTGTAAAAGACATGTCGTGGAATGCAAATTTTAGATTCCCCATGTCTCTTTTAACATCTTTTATCAACGTCTGTTTGCCTTGCAATTTTTAGAAGGCTCAGATTATAAAGCAGAAATCTGAATTGTGTTTCGAAACTATTTTACGATTTTTCCGCATTTCTTTGAATATTATTATAATTATGTGATAACTACAAATAACCTTAACATTTATAGTGAAAAGAGGGAGAAAATGATAGCTGTTGAAACAGCCCGGGCTGCCATTGTTACTCAGTGGACCAAAAAAGTTATTATTGAAAAAATCAGGAATTCCTCTGAAAACATAGCGGAACCCTTGGTAAGTTCATTTATTCTTTATATTTATTTACGTAGATACAATCCTAATAAGGTCCATGTCCTTATTTTCTCATTGCTATATATGCAGCTGAAACATGGATTCTCAACAAACTCGATAGTAGTAAAATCAAAGCATTCGAAACGTGGGTATATAGAAGAATTATACACGTGGCTTGAACAGAACATAAAACCAACCTGTCATTTCTGGAAGAGCTTCATATTAAAGGCATGCTATTAAAAAAAGTAAACCGAGCGTACCTAAATTACTTCGGCCACATAGCTAGAGCACGGGATCACGGAACTATTAGTAGTAGAAGGAAAGCTATAAGGCCGAAGACCAAGAGGAAGATCTCCAACACGATGGTAGACCAAATGAAGACTTTGGTGGGAAAATCCCTACATGGAGCCGTCCATATGGCACATGATAACAGCCAATGGAGACAGTAAGCTAACAATATTTTGAGTATTACCACGCCCTGACATGGTCTCAAGGAATGAGGAGAAGGAGGACATACAATCCTATCTGCCTCTTTAATAATATCATGGTAGTGAATTTTCATTTTATGCGTTTATATTTTAGCTCATGCCAGTGGTTAAAATCGAAAAACAAAAACTTCAAGTTAATAATAATGATGACGGCAGAGTTTCCGAATACGAATTGCCCATGGATTCCGATTGGGAAATACGCAGAGAAAATTTGTTATTGGGCAAAAATCTTGGAGAAGGGGCTTTTGGTAGGGTTGTAAAAGCTGAGGCCAATAATATTGTAAAACCAGGAAACTCAATTATCGTAGCAGTTAAAATGTTAAAAGGTAAGCTATTGTTTAATAGTTTATTCAAAATATTGCCATTATTAAACTTTCTACTTGACTTATTAATTTTAGAGGGTCATACAGACAATGAAATGATGGACTTAGTATCAGAAATGGAGATGATGAAAATGATTGGAAGGCATATAAATATCATAAATCTATTGGGCTGTTGCACGCAAGGTGGTCCATTATATGTAATAGTAGAATATGCTCCACATGGAAACTTACGAGACTTTCTACGGCAGCATAGACCTTCATCTGGGTATGAACTAGCTGTCGGAGAGAAAAAAGAGAAAAAGACCTTAACACAAAAAGATTTAGTGTCATTTGCTTACCAAGTTGCAAGAGGTATGGAGTATCTCGCTTCTAGAAGGGTAAGTCGAAAATTATATTAGGTTAGGTCTCTATTGCTCCCTATCTTGTGACATGTAAATCCAATTTGTTTCAAGCCTCTTTATATCACCTGTCCCTGATTTGACTGGTTCCTGGTAAATTCTATAAAGTTCGAATTTGTATCGTCTTCTACACAGTCCATTGTCATTCAATAGATTCGCCTTATTACTTTTCTTTCGAAACATCTTAGGATATGTAGTGGTAGTGTAGTCTTGTTATTATGAGTGGGCGGTTAACCACCCATCCACTCGACCTAAGAGATCTATTGAGGCTCATCCCTAGACTATGTCGCTTTCTTGTAGTCCACAAATAATGAGACCAGTGGTCTGTTGTATTTCACTGTTTTTTAATAACTAGTAAGTGGTTTTTCCTGCTTTTTAGATTGATAGAAATCTAGTCTGAGTTAATTGTCTTGTTAGTATATGAATAAATTTTGTACAACTGAGAGAGAAAACTGGTCGAATGGTATTGTTAATGATCTGTGTTTCTTTTTATGCCTGATTGCCATGATGGCATTGTTTCGTAAGATCTTTCCAGTTTCTAAACATCTAACAAATAGAACTTTGACAGCGCGGAATTATTTTTCCCACTGCTTTAATACTTTCAATTACAATTACATCTTCTTGTGAAAACAACAAACTCACGTAGTGAGTGAAAATGTCCATTTTCAGTGTGAGCTTTTGAATTATTAATTTCACTTGAAATATCTTTGTAGAATATGACCACTTCTTCATTGCTATGTAAACATATTGGAACGTAGGCCTGCATTATTTGAAGTTTATACCTCCTATTAAGTTTTATAATAATACTAGCTACTCTGGTGTTTTTGTTTTTTATCTTCACACAACTTTTCATAAATTGTCTATGTATAAGAAAGTTTACTCCACCTAGTATATTATCTTCAGTAAACCTAGTATCAAATGTTCTATTATTAATGTTAATTGTCCCTGGTCTTATCTAGTTGCTATAAAAATAGCTAGGGGCTTCGGAAATATTAGAGACCGAGGATCTTATTTATCTATCTTGAAAACTCGTGTGTGGAAATTGGCCAATAATCTACCACGCTAGCTTGTATGGTTGGTAGTTGTTGGGGATGTAGGAAAGGAGTTTGAGGTTTTGTTAGGATAATACTAAGATTTTCGGATCAGGGGTAGACGAAAAAAACTAGGAGCTCATTTGTGCAGAAACACTAATCTATCTATCGGGATCACACAGGAGTACCTACCTGCACCCAGTTTAGGTTTATATATTTTAACATATTCTTCTTTTCAGTGCATTCACAGAGATTTGGCTGCTAGAAATGTACTAGTCAGTGATGACTATATTCTAAAAATAGCGGATTTTGGTCTGGCTAGAGATATTCACTGTAGTGACTATTATAGAAAAACTACAGATGGAAGGTTACCAGTTAAATGGATGGCTCCAGAAGCACTATTTCATCGAATGTATACCACGCAGTCAGATGTTTGGTCTTATGGAATCTTGCTTTGGGAAATCATGACATTAGGAGGTAAGCTAATACTGGATATCTGTTAATGTTGTTTCTACCATGTGAATTTCATTAATATCTAAATTCAATAAATTGTTTATTGTTCAGGTACACCATATCCTTCGGTACCTAGTGTTGAAAAACTCTTCCAGTTGTTACGAAATGGTCATCGAATGGAAAAACCTCCCTGTTGTTCTTTAGAGATATACATGCTGATGCGAGAATGTTGGAGTTACCAACCAAACGAACGACCGATATTTTCAGAATTAGTGGAAGACTTAGATAGAATATTAACAATTACAGCGAACGAAGAATATCTTGATTTAGGTCTGCCTCAACTAGACACGCCTCCTTCGAGTCAGGAGTCAAGTTGCGATGAGGAATTTCCAGTTTCTCTTACACAACATTTCTCCTAGTCAATAATGTTAAGTATATATTTCTGTAACTATAGCCTGAGTTTTGGTCATTTCTTATTGGTTAAATTAACTGATCTAAATACCGCGTTTATATCGAATTTTGAGTTTAATTGAGGTATAATTAAGGTTTTTTGTCTTTTTAAGATGAACATGAATCACAATCACAACATGAATCTGCTAATCTTAAACTATTTGTTACTATTTTTCCACTACTAGTCGATCAGTCTGGTCATCGATAAATATCATTTAAGGGAAAGTTAGCTTTTGTTTTTAGATTAGAGAAAATAAAAAAAGAAAAGAGAAACGACTCCTCAGAATTAGACACACGTTAACAACACTTAATGTGCCATAACATCGCTAAAGAATGTAATGTAATGAAACTAACTCGAATTCATAAATACGTCACTTAATAAGTTATATTGTTATAGTGATGTATATTTTGTCTGTCCAATGAAGGATATATACAAATTTTATAAAAAAAAATCTCCATAATTGGTGACCGTCAAATCTACTTTCAAAATTGTCACCAAATATCCGTTCTTTGCGGTAAAGTTATGACCAAAACTTATATTTCTTAATAACGATTTGTGATTTTATTGAATATTTGTAATACGATCAATATTAAATATTTGTAATGCATTAAAATGTTATCAGTATTAATTATTCTACATCGAATGCTCTTACAAAGCCATATACCTTAATATAGTTGTCAGATTTTAACTCTAGTATTCAGTTTCAATGATTTAAATAGTATCGCAGATTATAATAGTAGTGATATAACAGTATATTAACACAATAATACAAATCATGGGCATTATTAATTTAATAGTAAAAAATACAGGGTTTTTTTTCCTCAATAGATATAATTATACAGTGTGAAAAGCACTTATGGAATATCCACCACGCGGTATTCTCTTTTTCCTTTTTTCTTTCCTACGCGAGCCATCCACAAGTTAAGTAGAAGCGACCACTTTGGGGAAGCTGCAAGTAAGAAACCAGAGACTCGAGACGCGAGGGAGTCAGCCACTAAAAAGGCTCGAGCTCCGCGTTAGGTCAATCCTGAGACGGGTTTGAGGTGCAAGCACCCCGGATTTTTTAAAGTAAGGTTTATTCATATTTTGTCCCATGAACAGCTAGGGATAAGGTCTAACCGGTCCATATAGTCGAATAATGCTACTTACAAGTGATTATAGTGAGTATAGTCCAGGGAAACGCACAGCAACTACTACTCCATTGACAATACGTTGCCTATATTAGGAATAGGAATAGGTCATCAGCGGTGGTGTTTTGCTCAGCTATTGACCTATTTAACCCCTTCTCACCTTCCTGATTTTTTGCACACATTGCACCTCGTTCGGCTCTTACGGTCTCGGTATAGCACACAAAAACATCTGCCTAAATTTGCATGAGTTTCATCTTGACTTTCATCAGGTCCACTTTCCTTCAAAATAGCCTTCGCAAAAATATACTGGTATAGTTGGCCAAGCTAATCTTTCTCTCCTTTTTTCTTGCTTCTGAACTCTTTAGCCGAACAAGCGTATTAACTCCCACAATGTTAAGAAGTCCGTAAAACATGCACAGAGAGCAACGACAGGTTCTCCTTGATATGGAATATTGGTGACACATCTTGTCTATACTAGCAACTATCCCTTTTGTACTATTGTAGAACTATATTATCTCAGACAATTGAACACTGTTATTTTTATCCGCTTCCTCAGGTATGCTAGAGAGCAATACAACAGTTTAGAAGAGAGCTACATCTTCGCTAAATGAAAACATAGCGGTATTTCTATTTATATCCTTTTTATTTATAAAGCTTGATAGTATTTCAGCTTTATTCATTTTCATAGTTCCTACAATTGTACCTGATGTTCTGTTAACAACTTTTAGGTCATCGGAATAGAAGTGAATTAATTATCAAATATACAGTTTCTATTTGTGCCGTGGATGGGCTTGGTCATTTCAACTGAATAATACAGGAGTTGAACCTTTTTCAGTGTAAACCTTGGCATTTATCGTATAAAATTATTTTGCGTCACACATCATTACAATTTGAATGCCATATTTATCAGGCTTTGTCAGAATGTACATCTCAAATATCTGGACATTTGGACATTTTCCACTGAATGCAAGTACCTGCTTGTTTGCAACATTCAGTGCAATATTCGAAAGGGACGTACAAATCCTGGCTTCTTTGAACTATATGATCAAACAGAGCTTTAATAGGGCTAAGCGAGCTAATTTCTTTCTTTCTTTTCTGATATTGCGATCATCAAATCTTAGCAGTTGTAGTGCTCAAATAGTGCCTTCAATTCGATTATGGTAGTATATTTGGTAAAACTGAGTTACTGTCACGGTAACTTTTATACTGAGAACACTGTCTGTTTATTTCTTTGTTTGTGTGATTCTATATCTGTTTCATGATGTTATCAGTAAAAAATAACCAGAACGCTTCATACCCTGACTTGGGGTATTCCAGTATCACGTGTAGAAGACTTCAAAGAACTATAAATTCTGTGGACAATATGGATAATAGAGGGTGAAATTTGAAAATTACTTAAAGTGTCGTTGCGTTCATAGTAATTTTCTAAAGTAACGTCAAAATAATATTCCATAAGAGTTTTTCGCACTGTATATATAATTATAAGTAATAGCTTCCATAGATACCTTATGAATAATTTGTATATTTTTAAATTTGTGTTTGTGCATCCTTCCTGAACTTTTTCTTATTTGAAGGCTTTTTCCAATATTTTTTGAGGTATCTGGCTAAGAAAACGGTATCTTTCTGTTGATTATTAGAAATATTAACTGTTGGCAAAATTAAATAACAATTATACAACATTTTTTAAGGGCAGCATACGGTATCTTCCTTCTATATTCAAAGGATAACTTCTTATAGAGTGATTCCACAAATCACAAGGAACCCGACAAAACCGAGTTCCGACAGGAAATTAAAATAAAATTAAAGGGAAAATGAGTAGCTGTCAAAAAATACCTAAACCTTATAACAACTACAAAAAAGTAGGGAAGCTAAAGCATTAATAAAGAAAACAAAAGATGAGTTGAATGAAAGTCGTCTTTAAAGACCGAATCTAACAGAATTAACGAAGCATTAGAGAAACTGAAAAACCAAAAATCGCCAGGTCCAGAAAAAATTCTAAACGAACTATTAAAATATGATAGAAATATTCTAATATCTAAAAAGGGCGATAAGATAGATAGACAGATAGACAGATATTACACGCAAATCGTCATGTGACACACAATGTAATATAAATCTGAGGAAAATAAGTAACAAAAAAATTGTGTAAAAACGACATAAGAAGAATGAAAGAATACAAACTGTGAACAATAGTAAGATATAAATCACTAAACTACAAAAAAAGGATAAGGCCAAGACAAAGGCCTTCCTATAAAGGAAGTAGGTACAATAAATGAAGATGATTTCTCCAAGAGGTTGAAGGAAGTTAATCGCGAATGATAAGTGGCACTATAACCATAACGATTACAATATTTTCTGAAATTCTAGTAAACTATCTTTAATAAATCATTTATCTCATTTAATATGGGCAATTATAAATAGCTGGCCAATGCCGACAAATTTTTGCTCCCGTAGATGTCTCATAACATGATTTCCAAAGTCTAAATGTATTTAACATCATTAAAATAAACTGATTTTTGGGCATTTTCTTTACTGAATTCAGGAGTCCCATGGTTTATTCATTATAGTGCATAAATATATAATATTTAAAATTGATATAAGGTTGAATGCTCGAATAAATGAACTTTGAAAAATTAAGGCAAATATCGATCACAAATTTAATAATCAAATCTTACCCAAATACTTTCGCTTTCTACAGCATCATCAGGTGCATTTCGTCAAATTTGGGCTATCCAGCAAGCGCAGAATGAAATATTAACCAATGTCATGTTTATTATATTCTGCGCTTGCTGGATAACCCAAATTTGACGAAATGCCCCTGATGATGCTGTAGAAAGCGAAAGTACTTGGGCAAGATTTGATTATTAAATTTGTGCTCGATATTTGCCTTAATTTTTCAAAGTTTATAATATTTTTGTTATTTCATTACATTATATTTTAATTTGGAGACAGATCATCACCAGATTGTTACTTTTTGACAGACCTGGCCTCCTGCACTATACTTGATCAATCCTTACTATCGTATGTCCGACGCTACCACACTCTGACACCAAACTGGTGGAGTTTGTCTTCCACAGTATCTAACCATCTCGTCTTCTGGATTAGCCATGCGATGAATTCCTTTTGTCCTTTTTCTCCTTGATTTAAGCTCTAAGTGACCTAACCATCTTAATATGTGTGTTTTTCTCATTAATTTGTTTTTTTTCTGACTAATAGTAAAGCTCACTCTTTCTGATTCCTCTTCAAGCGGAAGAAAAAATTCCGGTAAGTTCTAGACCCGTCGTGCTACCAAGTGTAATATTCCAACTAAAGTGCTCTTAAATATTTCCCAATATTACATATTAAATAGCAACGACTAAAGGATATAATTATCTTATCTGACGCCACAAAATAATATATGTATCTACAAAAACATTTTGCCAACTGGTAATTTTAATAATCATGAAAGAAAGCTAAACACTATGTTTTTGTTGATTAAAACACTTTAATTTGTATTTGAGTTATATTTGAATAAAGTGTAGCTTTTATAGGCTCTGGTCCGTCTAGGATTTAATGGTTCTGTTAAGGTGAAAATTGCAATCCAAAATCCGCAATAATTGTTATTTTTTACCTTAAACGTAATGTAGAACGCAATAATTGTTATAATTTACGTTAAACACAATATATAAGGCAATGGATGTTATTTTTTACCTTACACTTAATATAGAACGCAATAAATGTTATATTTTACCTTAAATGCAATATAGATAGGATTTCTACTTCAGGGAATAGTTGAACAAACAGTACCTATACAGTGTGTTGCATTAATAGCTGGACTTATATCATGTTAATCATAATT